CCTTCACCCACTTTTCTGTTGTCCATCCCCCAGGGAGGAGGTCACACGTAGATCCTTGTAATCGGTTCCCCCTTTCCAACCCACTCTCCCTCTATGCTCCCAGTATCACCACTCACACCACTATATCTTTTGATAGCGGGCACCATCAGCTTTCTCCACCACATTTACTTATATACCCATTTTGTCTTCAAATATCCTGTCTGGGAGGGGTGGGGTGAGCACCACAGAATGCCAGGTTGTTAGAACAGTGTTCTTGTGTTGAAGGAGGGCTTGAGCAGAGGCCCAAAGTCTGTCCACTTCCTCAATGTTTTGCCATATAAATATATGTACATAGGCCAATACCTCTATTTTTATGAATTAATATATTTACTTATGTACACAACTATGTTTATACCTCCAGCCATAGCTTTGCTTCCTAGATCTTTCCTGTTTCTTTTTACCTTCCTCCTGTCCCCATCACACCGCCCTTCTTCTGTCTCTTAGTAATTCCTCTCAGTTAGATTGTTGTTGCTTCAACACCACCAGGATCTCTACATTCTCCTTGTTGTTGCGTTTATTTCCCTAATTGTCCCCCTGTCTATGGTGTTGTTTGCTCACTGCTCCCTCCCCCCACCTCTTCCTCCCTGCAAGTCCCTCAGGAACTGTCAGTCCGTTTCTGTCTCCACAGGCTTACTTCCCATGCCTATCTTATATAGGTAGGTAGGTAAAACAACAATAATGGAGACTAAAACAACAATAATGGAGACAAAACAGAAGATTAAATAAGAAGAGAGAGAAAAAACTAGTATCCCTCCTCCCTCCCCCTGACAAAGCATACATAATTCTAGGTCAAAACAGAGTAATCTTATGTAGCAGAGATGCAGTTTGATTACCTCCCTTCACAAGTCTCCTTTTCTCTCACTTCCAGGAATAAAACATTAAAAAAATCAAACAGAGACCATGGTGTTCTGTAGAACTCATTTGGAAGTTGCCGGTTTATCTGGGTAGACTCCAAGTTACAAGAATCCTTACAGTGGGCCGCTTTGCTGCCGCAGCTGCCTGAATGTGTAGTTTTGTCTGGTCCTGTTGCGCCCAGCCATGGTCAACCCTACTGTCTTTTTCGACATAGCCATCGATGGCAAGCCTCTCGGCTGCGTCTCTTTCAAGCTGTTTACAGACAAAGTTCCAAAAACAGGAGAAAACTTCCATGCTCTGAGCACTGGGGAGACAGGTTTAGGCTATAAAAGCTCCTGTTCAGAGTCCTTCTGGGGTTTATGTTACAGGATGTTGACTTCACATACCATAATGACACTGGTGGTAAGCCCATCCATGGAGAGAAGTTTGTAGATGAGAACTTCATCCTGAAGCACATAGGTCCTGGCATCCTGTCCAACATTCTGGGCCCATACAAATGCGTCCCAGTTTTTTATCTGCCCCGCTAAGACTGAATGGTTGGATGGCGAGCACGTGGTCTTTGGTCAAGTGAAAGAAGTCGTGGCCATTGTGCAAGCCATGGAGTGTTCGGGGTCCAGGAATGGGAAGACCAGCCAGAAGACCACCATTGAGAACAACTTTAATAAATCTGATCTGTATTTCATCTTAAGCACCAGACCATTCCTCGTGTAGTTTGGGAAATCACCCTTCTATTTCCAATGTGCTTGCAGTATCGTAAGCTTCGCGCTCTCACTCCAGCTCTCGGAGTTTCCTAGTTTCCTTAGTCCCCCTAAGTCCAGCTGGAAAGCAGAGTTAAGTTTATGATTATGAAATAAAAACTAAATAAAAAAAGAGGAAAAAATCCTAACATTGGAGTGTGTACAGAGCTGATGGTTGGAAACATCCGTATAAAAACGAGGTAAATAAGAAATCTAGTAGGTTCTTTCATCTATATGAATGGAATCTTATTTTTACTGACCTCAATATACCATTCTCAGAAGCATGAGATTTAATTTGAATGATACTTATTGTTTACCAAGTTCATCTCTAGGTAAACAATTGATAATGGCACTTTTCCATTCTTAGCTACTTCCTTGTGTCTATCGTATATATTCTCAAGTGTTGTTTTTCACTGAAAGGATTCCATATTTAAGGTGGCTACTCGTAAGGTCAGCAGTTTGAAATCATCCAGCCACTCCATGGGAGAAAGACAAATGAGGCTTTCTACTCCAGTAAAGAGTTACAGTCTCAGAAACCTACAGGTGAAGTTCAATCCTATCCTGTAGGGTCAGAATTGACTTGATGGCAGTGAGTGATTCCACATTTGGTATATTATCCAAGTTCAGAATATGGAAGTTCTTAGAGAGAAATACAACAACTTTACACGTAGTTTCACACAGTTAAAAAAAGAAAAAAGTCAATTCTCCTATCACTTGTTTTTTCTAGATGTACATTAGTGCAGAGTATGAGAACGTTTACTATACAAGGAATTTTTAAAGTCTATGAAAAATAGAATAAAAAGATAATGTCATTTTCCATGAACTTTCTGAAGTCCCCTTGTATTTGAGACTTTAGATGACTCTGGTATAGATTTTACTGTAACGCAGTCAAGACTCCTTTTTTCACCTGAAGAAATGTAAGAGCTTTATTTATTGGCACTTCTGATCCACTGCTTCATATAAATCCCCCAGAGTTCTATGCCTTCAGACATTACTTTCAGACCCTCCTACTGCTGCCCATAGCCATACCAGACACTTGAAAATGTCCTTCTGTAGATTAATTTCATGATTCTCATTCCAGATATATGACTTCATAAGAAGGTAAAATGTCCACTTCTATCTCTTCCAGGTGCTAACAGGAAGTAAAGTATGCCACAGAAACGAGACTCAATATCTCAGTAACTTCCTCTTGTTTAGGACAGAGCCTGATTGACCTTCATTTATTATTGAACTAATCGGGTTCTCTCAGGTTCATTAAAATTCAGAAGAATACAGTTTTCTTCCAATATCGGTTCTAGGAAATGCCAGTTTAGGGGATGAAGCACTGTCTTATGCTGGTTTCTCTAGAGAAGCAAAATCAAATATATATATATTTGTGAGTTTGTATTTTCATATATGTATGCAAAAGTATATGTAATTTTCATCTATGTTGCTGTTGTTGTTAGGTGCCCTCGCGTCGGTTCTGAGCTATAGTGACCCATGCACAACCATAGGAAGCAGAAGGAAACACTGCCTGGTCCTGCACCATCCTCACACTTGGCCCTCTGCTTCAACCCATAGTTGTAGCCAGAGTGTCAACCCATCTCCTTGAGGGGCTTCATTTTTGTGCTGCCCCTCCACTTTACCAAGCATAGTGTTCTTATCCAGGTATTGGTCTCTCTTGACACCATGTCCAAAGTATGTAAGACAAAGTCTGGCCATGTTTGCCTCTGAGGAGCACTGAGGCCGTGCTTATTCCAAGACACACCAGTTTATCCTTTTAGTAGTCCATGGTATGTTCAATATTCTGCACCAGTACAATTCAAACACACCGACTCTTTTTCTTTTTCCTCTTTTTTAAATTCAACGTCCAACTTTCACATGCATATGAACCGCTCTATGGGAGAAAGACGTAGCTTTCTACTCTGGTAAAAAGTGTTTCAGTTGCAGAAGCCGATGAGCACAGGTCTATGAGTCAGTCTTTGACTTGACAGAAGTGAATGCGCTACCCAAACTAAAATCTTTTGTATCGTGATAGTCTATGCGAAGAGGATGCAAAGATAAGCTCCTTAGTGGAAGAAAAAATTTGCAAACTGCATATCCAACCAAGACTCGCTCACTGCCTTCGAGCCAATGCAGACTCACAGCGACTGTGCATGCACGATGGGGAGCCAGCTCACCTTAACTACGGGATCCCTTGACAACTCAGAGGCGCCTGTCACTGGGTGGGGTGACCAGGGAGATGGGGCGTGGGTGTTGAGAGTGACAGCGGAACGCTGTGGCTGCGCCACAGCTCGGAGAGCAGGGGTGAGCTCTGACCGTGGTCGCCTGAAGTCCTGATTGCTACCAAGCGAGGGAATGTTTCAGGCACCCCCGAGGGCCGGCCGGGTCTGAAGCTATGAAATTAGCAAAGGCGTTAATAAAGACGCCGGGAACTGGCTCGTCTGGGAGAGTAAAGGCGCGCAGACCAGTTCCTGACTCCCCAGGCTGAGCTCCCACAGGTAGAGAGGGAGGGGAGTCGGTTGGCGTGCCCCAGCGTCAACGGAAACGCTTTCCTTCCTCTTCCGGTTGGCGCGTGATCCGCAAACCTCCACCCCAAAGTAGCAAGTGGGGCGTGGGGGGGTAGGGTGTTGGGGGGAGGGGCCGAGAAGGCCTGATCTCCCATTGGCTCTGCGAGATCCGGAAGCGGAGCGGCAACGGCTCTCCCCAGGCCGTCCGCGCACGGGGCTCCCACCGCCTTGCCTGTGGACTCGGGCGTGTGCTGCCGGCCGGCCGTGAGAACGAACGCTGCCTTTGGGACCGGAAGCCCGAACTGTCTGGAGGTAACCGAGGAACGGATTTCCCGTTGGGTGCCGACAGGGAGACCTCGGGGAGGTGCTTGCCTTGCGGGCAGCTGCGTGGCGCGGGAGTGGGCACGGGTTCGGATGCAGCCATTTTCCGGACACAGCGATAGCCGGGTTGCCGGGAGGCGGCTGCTCTCCTCAGCTCCCGCAGGCGGTCTAACTTGCCTCTGTCTGTCTGTCCGGTGAGAAGTTACGGGCTGGGCGACTGCTGCGGCGACGGCGGCAGCGCCCCGCTTGGAACCAGGATCCCACCCCAGCTGCGCAGTACAAGCCGTAGTCCCGGAGATGGACCGGGCTTTCGACGCCCCCCAAAGAGTTAGTCGCGGAAAGTTACAGGGCCAGTTCTCCCCCGTCCCAGAGCGGCGCCTGGAGTCGCAGTGCGTTTGAGTTTCGGTTTTGTAGTCCGTCCAGATGGCAGAGCAAATCCAAGTTAGAGAGTCAGGACAGTAATGTTTATAACTACGACGAGAAAGGCTCGTGGTCCGGTCGGTTCAGGATATCCAGGCACACCGAAAAATGGCTGCTTCTGTTAACATGAAAAAATATAAGTGCCCTCTTCACTTGTGAACCCGAATAAGTAGCCTGGAGCCAGCCATTTCCCAGGCATCCTTGAAGCAAATGGATCTCATCGGCGAAAATGGGCTGTCCCCAGCCTTTCCGACACGTTAAATGACTCAGAAGAATGAGGAAATACAGAGAGAGCAGAGGGTTAACCTTACCAGAAGCTTCCCTGTCTGTGCACACCTTCATTGTCACCTTTTCATTATCTTTTACCAGCTAAATTTCTGTCTTGTAAACAAAGGCCAGCTTTAATTTTCCCTCCAGTTAAAGTAAATAAATACAAAATATAGGTAAGAGTTGTCTGAACACCCCCACCCTTTATATGTCTTGTAAATCAGTGTCAGTGAAAACTGATGAAGGGTGGTAGCTTAGTCAAGTGCCTGATAAGAGAAGAGTAAAGCTACTTTTTTCTCTTAGCTGCTCGCCTTCTATTCTGGTGTCACTGCACCTGCTTTCCGCCAGTATTAATACAATGGTAAGGAGCCTATTAATTATTCAAATAAGTTAAAGCTTTCATCTTCACATAAAGGGTGAAGGGACATGAGAAAAAGAATCTCCGCAAGCACAACCAAAACTCTGGAATTGTCTGGTAACATTTCTCTCTCACTGCCAGGGAGCCCTTGTGGGTTTCCAGGACTTGAACTGTTTCCTGGAGTACAAAGCCTAGCCGTCTTCCCTTGAAGTGGCTGGTGGTTTTGTACTGGCGACCATGTGTGTTGCAGCCCAACATGTAACCACTACACCACCAGAATATTAACATCCAGAGAAGCAAAATCTGTCTGTTTCATCCCAATATTCCCTGGTCATTGAGAAGGAAGGACACCAACACAGCGATTAGGTTTTCAGACAATCTCATAGCTCCTTTCAGCTGCTGGGTGCCAATTTTGTCACCCGCCAACATTTCAAGAACCAGAAAACAGATAACCAGAGAGCCATCAATTGGCATTTGCCTTCTCTGAGCTGCTGAGCACCAAAGGAATGACGTCTGTGTCCGGAAGTAACCGATCCCTCTGGGTGTTCCAGGACTGAGCAGTTAGTTTTAAAGGACCATAAGCCAGCAGCATTTCTGTTCTTTTCCCGATAAGTATCGAGTAACACAAGGGTCATGTGGCTTTCTTCTCTGATGTACTTTTCTCTTGTTCTCCCTCCATGTCCGCAGGAAGAAGATCCTCTTATTGCCTCACGTGTCACAGGTGGCACCGGGGGTTGTCGCAGGAGTTACCTATTCTCGGAGTAAAATGATGATGGGAGATCTTGAGGTGGCTGCAGGCTGGATCCCCAAGCTGAGGCCCAGGGTGGGCCTGAAGGGGCCTGTGAAACACACCTCCAATCAGGGTGAAAAATTCACCCCACTGAGTAACAGTCTTGATCCTGAGAACTCTCGCCAGCACTTCAGGAACTTCTTCTATCCTGAAGCAGCTCCTCCCCTCCAGGTCGTCAACCAGCTTCAGGAATTATGCCGTCAGTGGCTGAGGCCAGAGAGCCACTCCAAAGAGCAGATCTTGGAAATGCTGTTGCTAGAGCAGTTCCTGGCCATACTGCCCAGGGAGTTCCAGAGCCAGATGCAGAAGCACCATCCACAGAGTATCCAGGAGGCTGTTGCTCTGGTGGACCTCTTTCGGGGAGAATTTGATCCGGGGAGAAAAGAGGTGAGAAGAGAGTCTTGATATGTCCAAGAAAATAATATAGATGTGGCTCTCCTGGGGAGGGTGGGGATCCTGAGGGCTGAGGTGGCGATTGGGTTGCTCTTCTGTTGCTCCCTTTGCACCGCTGAGGCAGAAGCTGAGGCAGAACCTGAATCCGTAGGTCCCCAGCAATAGTCTTCCACAGGTCTCAGTCCCTTTGCCTGCTGTCTGTGTCCCCCACTACCCAGCAGGCACTCCAAGGCTTGTTCCACCCAGCCATCTCCCCTGGACAGCCAGACATGGCACAGTGGGGATTGGGCACCTGCCAGGCATTTTTTTTGATCCCGTTGGCTCCTTCCTTCATAACTTCTCCCTCTCTCCTAATCCCTCTCCTTACCTCCCTCGTGTACTGTTAGCCTCCTTTCGTCTCTGGCTCACCTTGTAACTCACACAGGTGCTTGGACTGCTTCTGCAGTGGCACGTACTGACGGGCAGCGCATTTTCTTCTTCAGAGTTTGCTGACCTTTGAAGATGTCTCCTTCAATTTCTCCCAAGAGGAATGGGAGTTACTGGATGTCAATCAGAAGGCCCTCTACAACAGTGTGATGCAGGACACCTATGAGACTGTCATCTCTCTGGGTAAAGATGAACTTTTCCCCTTCTTAGAATTCGAGTAATCTGTTATGTTCTCAGTTGACAGTGACTGCATCTCCGCGCGTACAGAGAATGTGTATTGTAGATTCCCATGAGCCACTCTTTCAATAGCTGCTTGGTTTTGAATTGTATGGTGTGAAGGAAGAGGAAGATGTATTCCGATCACCTGGAGAGGGCATAGCCAAATACACATGTCTCACTTCCTTATTCTAGTAGAATGACTCACCTGCCCCATGCCTCAGAACATCTTACCATGGTGTTCATCCCGGTCTTTCCCATCAGGTTTAGGACCAGTCACCAGCATTCTTCCAGTTGCTCAGACCAGAAATCTCATGGATATTCCCGCCCCTCCCCCACCCCCAACTCTCTGTTGAGCCCTGCAACGGATCCCTCCGCGAGCCCTAGCGTCACAATATATCCTGACTTAAATCTTGTCTCATTTTCTTCTGCTGTTACCTTTTTATGTAAGTCATTGTCCTCGCTAACGCAGGCTTACTTCAATGGCTTTCTATCTCAAGTCCCCCAAGCCCCACTCCAGTGTGTGTTCCATAGCCCGACCTCCACCGCAACCTCCGGGTCTCTTTTCCACAGGCAAAGTGGTTGTCTTTATCGTTTCTGGTGGAGACGTCACAGCACCACGCACACCAATCTCACAGTTCTGATGTGGACAATTCGGTGACATTGATGACCATCATTGAATTGTGCAACCATCCTCAGCCTCCTCCTGAGTAATTCCCCCTCCCCCTTTAAGATGCACTAACTGCCCAAGGGCTCCAATCTAATCTTTTGAATCTGCCCCAGGCCAAACCTTTTGTTTTCCTTGTTCTTTCTTTAAAACTAGTCCATCCAACCTATCAATTGTGTGATTTCCAGAAGACCTCGTGAGTGGTTGGATGTTTACAAGTTATCCTCAGGGGGTTACCGGGTGGTTTGAAACCCTCAGCCACTCTGCAGGAGAAAGACAAGGCTTTCTACACCTGTAAAGAGTCTCAGGAACCCTTGTGGCAGTTCTACTGGGTACTGCCGGATCTCGCAATCAATTCCTAGACACTGAAATAGTTTTATTTATTTATTTATTTATTTAGGTCTTCCCTAAGCCTTCTGAACTTTGCCCTCAGGTAAATACGGCCCTTTTGACTTCCAGCTGCTGAGTGTTCCCAAGTGTACTTCATTCCCTAGTATTATATTTCCCTTAGAGTCCTGTCTGTTGGCCATGGGGGTGAGTTCATTTGCAGACTTAGAAGGGTGACTGAAGGGCATAGTCTTGGGTACACCACCAGTCTCTATTTAAGCCTCTTTTAAAAAAAACGATTTTGACTCTTGTTCTGCATTTTTCCTCTCTAAGCAAGACTTTCTAATGATGAGTCCATTCGGAGCAGTTGCGAGTGGCAGCTGGACACCATCTAGTTCTTCTGGTCTCAGGGTCATAGAGACTGATGTTTGCTTTGGTCATTAGTCCATTGGACTCATTGTTTCCATGTGCCTTTGATATCCTTCACCCCTTTTCCTTCCTCTGGACAAGGAGCAATAAATACCTACACCTTATCCGACTACTAGCAAGCTTGTAGGACCCTAGTTGCCCCTCACAAAAGTAGCATTTAGATCATTCTCTTAGTGCAGTGCCATTTAACCTTGGTGTTTCCTGATTCCATGGTCCTGAACTCCTCCCAGGCCCTCTGATTTATTCTGTGAAGGTATTTGGTTACATTTAAGAAGTTTTAGTGATGTTGGCCCTTGGCTGCCTCATCACATGCATGGATAAGTTTCAGCACAGATAAATGTACAGGTAGAAAGATATATTTGTAGGTATATGCCCACTCCTCCCCTCCTGCCCAACCCATTCGGTCTGCATGTCCATCCCAGCATCTACTTCTAGATCACTGTGATTGTCGCATTGTGTATATAATAGTCTTCTGTTTTCTTTAACCCTTGCACCACTGCCAGGGTTTCCTCTGCCTCTATCATTTATGTTGCCTTTCTCTATTACATATTGTCTCCATCTTTCACCCAGTTTAACACTTAACTACCCACTACTAGTCAGTCGTTTGCTCTCTCTACTCCTTTTGCCCCGGTAACTATCAAAGAATATTACTTTTAAGGTGAGAACCTTTTCTTGACTTTTTACAGAAGCGCTCTCCTACCCAGTTTGTCTTTTTTTAATCTACTTATTTCACTCAGCACTGTATTCTGAATGTTCTTTCATGTTATGTTTGAATGTTTATTATTCTTAATTTTTTATAGTTATTCTGAAAGTTAGATATCAGAGTTATCATTATTCTTTAATGTTCAATTAGTCTTTATTAGTATTCCTTTGTGTGTATGTTGCATAGTTTCTCTGTCCACCCTATCAGTGTGCATTTTCATCAATTTTGTCTTTTTGCTGTAATATTCTTAGGAGCCGTCGAGCCCGTTCTGACTCTTAGCAATCCTGCGTACCACTCAATGAAACACCATTTGGTCTAGCTATCCTCACAATACAATTGTTATTATGTTTGAACCCATTGATGCAGGCCCTGTGTCAATCCATCTTGTTGATTGCCTTCCTCTTTTTCACTACCCCTCCACTTTACCTAATATGATGTCCCCCTCCATGGGCTGCTCTCTCCTGACAACATGTCCAAAGTATGTGAGACCAAGTCACGACCTCCCTTACTCTTAGGAGCATTCTGACTATGCTTCTTCCAAAACAGATTTGTTTGTTTTTTTTTGACACTCCATGTTACTTTCAATATTCGTTGCCAGCACCGTAATTCAGATGCATCAAGTCTTCTTCAGTCTTCCTTATGTAGTGTTTAACTTCCACATGCATGTGAGGCCATTGAAAATGCCATGGCTTGTCTCAGGCATACCTTAGTCCTCAAACTAACCTCCTTGTCTTCATCAAAGAAACATGGATTTGCATATATCTATTCATGGACCAATTAATTGTGGATGACTCTTGATGACCTCAAAAGTTTATTATTAGAGCCTTAAGTTTCTGCCCCAACCTAAAGTGATGAACTGTGAATCTAAGGGGCAAAGATATTATTGCATAGTTTCCTATAGATAAAATGAGGAGAGAGAAAATAGTTGATAGGAAACTATACAGGGGTCTTGCCTTTTTTTAAAGTGATATTTCTAATGTAATTATAGCTTCACATACAGATATCCTATGTAAAACATAGGATATCCATGTACACATTACCAGTTTCATTTGGTAATGTGCAATCACAACCAGGATATTAAAATTAATGTAATCTACCAATCAGTGAGATTTCTAGGTTTTACTTGTACTCATTTGTGTGCATGTGTACAATTTGCAGTACACATGGAAATTTGTGTATCTACCGCTACCATCAAGATAGATGAACAATCCCATTACCGTAAACATCCCCATTGCATTTCTCTCCCATACACTCCTTCCACCCGTCACTAACCCATGCTCCCTATTCATTTTGTCTGCATTTGTAAAATTTTGCCATTTCAAAAATGTCACATAAATAGAATCGTAGGGTATATAATCTTTGTGGGGTTTTGTTTTGTTTTTCCATTCAGTGTAATTTCCTGGCGGTTCATCCAAGTTGCCACAAGTACCAGTAGCGCGTTCTTTTTCATTCCTGAGTAGTAGTCGATAGTATAGCTGCTCACATGGATTGCGTATAAAGATTCATCCATGGAAAGATATTTTTGCTGTTTCTAGTTGTGGGGTGTTCTGAATAAAGCTGCTGTGAGCTATTGTGTGCAGTGTTGATATTGACATACGTTTCACTTCCCTGGGATGAATACCTAAGCGTGAGTTTGCTGATTCATATGAGAAGTGCATCGTAGTCTTGGGAGAAACTGCTTGTTTTCCAGTGTGCCAGTTTGCATTTTCACCATCACTGTATTTGTGATCCAGTGTCTCCATATTTTATATTACCTTCCCTTTTAAATTTTAACCATGCTAATGAATAGAAAAGGAGCCCTTGTGATGTATTGGTTCTGTGTTGGGCTGTGATCCACCAGGTCAGCAGTTTGAAACCACCAGGCGCTCCACAGGAGAAAGGCGGGTCTCTACTCTGGGACAGAGTTACAATGTCAGAAACCCACAGAAGCACTTTGACCCTGTCCCACAGGGACACTGTAGTCAGAATCGATTGAACGGCAGTGAGATTGTGGGTATAAAGGAGCCTGGTGGTGCTGTGAGTTAGGTATTAGACTGCTAACCACAAGGTTGGCTGTTGAAAAAAGCAATTAACCATTCTGTCAAAGAAAGATGAAGCTGTCAGGTAACACAAAGATCTACAGTCCGGGAACCTCTTTCGGGTTGCTGTGAATTAGAATCGACTGGATGGGTAGTGGATTTGGTTTCATTTTTGTTCAGTGAGTGAAAATTACATTTGTATTTGCATTTCCCTATTGGGAAATGCCGCTCTACATCTTTTCACATGCCTGTTTGCCACCTGTAGATCCTATCCAGTGAACTGCCTTTGGGCCATATTCTAGTGGGAGTGTCTGAAAAACTGGATTGCTCATCCATTGATGATGAGAATACAGAATGATACACTCCGGGAAAGTCTTGGTGTATCTTATGAAACTAAGATGCAATTTTAGAAGTGATATGAAATCAGCTCACTCTTAGGTAGTTAGCCTAGAAAGTTTAAAAATATATTTCAGATACTGGTCCTTCGTTAGATAGGTTGATGAATTTAGTTTCTTCCCGTCAAGTTTCCCCCCACCCCCATCCTCTTCTCATGGGCATCTCAAGAGCACACAATTTTTATTTCCATGAATTCAAGTTCAAATTTTTCCTTTTATAGTTCTTTCTTATGCTGTCAAGTGTAAGAACTCGGCCTAGCACAAGATCTGGAAGATGTTCTCTCTCTCTCTCTTTTTTTTTTTCTGTAAAGACTTTGTAGGTTTGCACTTTTAAGTCTGTGATCTACTTTAATTATTGTGTGAGATGTGAGGCTTAGATTGTGGTGGAGTTTTGTTTGTTCCTTTGCTCTTTTTGGCTTATGAATGTCCAGTTGTGTTGGCACCATTTGTTGAAAGGGGTATCCTTCCTCAACTAAAACACACCCTCAAGGAGATCTCATTTTGGGGGTTTACTAGATCTTAACTGCCAGGCCACTGAGAATCTTGACCTAGCGACTTGACAGAACACCGTAACGATCATAGAACTGGTTTGCTATAGTGAAGATACCGCCTTATAAAATGAATTGTGAAGTATTTCCTCCTGTAAAAAGAAGAAACGATGCGGAGCTGGCATCTGACCTCAAGTTTTATAAGGAGGGAGGAAAATCATCAGCAGTGCCAGGTGGCCAAGGCCAATTCCTAACACTCTAAGGAGAACACATGTGCCACCCTTCAAACTTCCTATCATTTCTCAGACAGCTCTGGTGGCACAGTGGTCCCGAGTTGTGCTACTTTCAACTTTCTCGGGAGAAAGGCTGGGCTTGCTGCTCCATAAAGAGGTTCAGTCTCGGAAAGTCACAGGGGCAGTTCTATCCTGCCCTATAGGGTTGTTGATAGGCATCAACTCAATGGCAGTGAGTACGGAGTTTGGTTTGGTCCTTCTCTCAGGGATCCTTGGTGGTTTAATGGTTATGCATTGGGCTGATATCCATCCACTAGGTCAGCAGTTCAAAACCACCAGGTGCTCCTCAGAAGACAACCCCTTCTACTGCTGTTGGGGGAAAAATGGGGCTTTCTAGTCCCATAAACAGTTACGGTATCAGAAACTCACTAAGGCAATTTTACCTTGCCCTGTAGGGTCTTTGGCATTGACACGATGGCGTTAAGTTTGTGATGTTTGGTCTCTACTACAGCACTGTCTACTTTTCAGCTGGGTTCAGTAATTCATTGCTATGGTCACACAGAGCTAACAGACAATACTTGTGATTATGGGGTTTATTAGAGAATTCAAACGGTGATAAATGCTCAAGATTGCTGTTCAGCTCAGATAGTCCCTGCCATGTCTGCATGCAGGCCTCCCCCTGGCCCTCAGCCTCTCAACCTGGTCTCTGCCCTGCTCACGCAATGTTACGGAGCCTTTTTAAGCTTCCAGTAAATAGCCAAAGGGCATGCTACACCACCAGTAGCCTCAGGGAGCCTTTTTAAGCTTCCAGTAAATAGCCAAAGGGCATGCTACTCCACCAGTAGCCTCAGTGCAAACTTGCTCAGCTCTAGATCTGTGGGACAGCAAGCCTAGCTCCCACAATTAAGTTTTTGGAGTCACCCCACTCCACAAGCTAGCCTCTTGCCTGAAGTAACTCAGCTTTACTTTCTCTTTACTTCAGGGTTGTGAAGTCCACCTCTGTGCTTCATGCTCTGGCTCCTGGTTCTGAACTTGCTACTCTACCACTTCTCTGCTGTCACAACTGTTGCATGGTTCAAGGCAGTTAAATGTATAGGGATATCAGGATCCGATGTACACATGCTCCAGTTCTGTTGCTTCTCTCTCACCAGTAATGAAATCCTGTTTCTTGCTTCTGAGATGGCTGATTCTATACTCAGCAATATGAGCATCACAGTGAACACTATTAACAACCGCAGCTGAATCATATAATCAGTATCTTCCCCTACCTTGTCACCCAGACTCATCAGGAAAACTACCACCATTTGGTGGCAGTAACAGGCTCTAGGTAGAAGAGCTGAATATTACGTAGTTCATTGCATTTTTATTTTTATTTATTTTCTGCAAGAGATTGTGTAAAATTGTGTGTTGAATGTTTGGTCAAATTCTTCAGGAGACCAGGAGGGAAGGCCGTTTCAGACCTGCAGAGGCCTCGTACTCAGACCACTCATGATTTCTGTCCATATACCCCAGTATCTTTTGGTTTAAAGGAAAGCACTTCTGGCCACTTGCTATTAGCCAGACTCCAGATTGTTCTGTTGGTGATGTTGGCTTTCTGGGTGTTTTCAGAGGGACTCCATTGGTGTCTGGGAGAAAGAAACCTGCCAAGACTGTCTCTTGTTGCTCGGTTGGGGTTGGGACATACTTGATAGGGTTTATTCAGAGTTCTCCTTTTATTTTTATTTATAGTATAACCTGGGCTTGTAGTTGTGCTGAGCCAGAAGAGTAGGGAGAAACAGTTCTATGTCATTTTTCAAGAACAGTACCGAACTCATTTGTTCTGATATTAAAAAAAAAACAAAAAACAATCATCACGGACTCTTCCTTCATCCCTGCATTTTTCATGCTATGGGATATAGCTGACTGAGTCTTCTGTTTGTTCCAACAGGTCTGAAGATCAGAAATTATCCCGTGAATGATCAGCCCGTGCCTGCTGCTGAGTTAGAAATACAAGCCCCGGGAGGCCGAGTATCAAAAAAAGCCAAAATGGACACTCCCCAGAAAACCACAGGCACAGAAAATCGTGGTGGCATATTCAGGGTGCGGAAACGACATCGAAATTGTCCAGGGAGGAAAAGAAAGAAACATTCCACATGCAAACAAGATGTTCCCAAATGTACAGATCTTCAGAAGAAAGGTCCCTCAGGAGAGAAACCATTTAAGTGTCAGGAATGTGGGAAAAGCTTCAGAGTGAGCTCTGACCTTATTAAACACCAGAGAATTCACACGGAAGAGAAACCATATAGATGTCAACAGTGTGATAGGCGGTTTAGATGGAGTTCAGATCTTAATAAGCACCTAATGACACACCAAGGAATAAAACCACACAAATGTTCGTGGTGTGGAAAAAGCTTTAGTCACAACACAAATCTACATACACACCAAAGAATCCATACGGGAGAAAAACCCTTTAAATGCCATGAATGTGGGAAAAGGTTCATTCAGAACTCCCATCTTATTAAGCACCAGAGAACCCATACAGGTGAGCAGCCCTATTCCTGTAGCACATGCAAGAGAAACTTTAGCAGGCGGTCAAGCCTAGTGAGACACCAGAAACTTCACAGACCGAGGGAAGATTGTCCTGTGGCCCCAGTCTGAATAAAATCATTACAGGGAGCTTGATCATGGAGAGGGTGAAATAATATGAAACCACACATGACCAATATTAGTAATCTCATCAATGAGAAATTTGGGAGGTGGCAATGTCATGCTTCACAGAAAGGAATCCTAGTTGGTTATCTTCGGTGTTACCTTTTCAGTTAGAGAACTCAAAGCCCAGTGGCATAGAGTCATAGTAACCCCTTAGGACAGAGTTGAATTGCTCCTGTGGGTGTCGGGTGAGCAACATGTGCAGGGGCTTCATTTTTGTCCTGCCCAGAAGCCCGAGATGTCACCCATTATAGCACCAGAGCTGCTTAACTTGAAAGGCTGCGTGAAGCTGTATAATAGTTCACTAGCCCAAATTGATATTGACGCATAAGTATTTTATAAATAAAAGTAAAATTCCATCGTGTTTTGCTATGTCATCCTATCTGTGGTTACTTAGAGCTTTCCCATGCTCAGAGATTGATATTCTCCAGGTACCAGGTGCTTGATAAGCATATGATGGTCATGAATCCTAGTTTCACTCTTTTTTTACCCCAACAGTTTTATTGGTTTATCATTCAGCTATCTTATAATTCAATAGTTGTGTAAAACCGTCATTACAATCAGTCTTGGAACATTTTCCTCCTTATCGTTCTCATGGTTATTAGCTCTCCAATTTCTCCAATCTCACAGTTCTGATGTGGACAATTCGGTGACATTGATGACAGTCATTGAATTGTGCAACCATCCTTAGCCTCCTCCTGAGTAATCCCCCCTCCCCCATTAAGATGCACTAACTGTCCCAAGGGCTCCAATCTAATGTTTTGAATTCCTGTTTTCAAGTTCATCTCATATAGGTAGTTCTTAATCTGCTCCAGGCCGAACCTTAGTTGTTTTTTTTTTTTTTACTTTTTCTTTCTTTAAAAGTAGCTATTCTAACTTATCGATTGTTTGGTTTAAGAAGACCTGAGGAATGATGTAAGTTTTCAACATTTTCCTCAGGCAAGTGTCAGGTGTTTCTCAGGTAGTTTCCAACCACCAGCAGGAGAGAGACAAGGCTTTCTACGCCTACAAAGAATTAGTTTCAGGAACCATCAGGGAAGTTCTACTGGGTGCTGTAGGATCACTATGATTCTCAATCAATTCCGAGGCACTGAAATAGTTGTATTTATTTGTTTATTTTCGTCTTCCCTAAGCCTTCTGAAATTTGTCCTCAGGTAAATACTGCCACTTTGATCTCCATCTGCTGAGTGTTCCCAGGTGTGCTTAGCTGCCTAATGTTATATTTCGCCTTAAAGAACTGTCTATTGGCCGTGGGGGTGAGTTCATTTCCAGACTTTAAGGGTCCCTAAAGGGCATAGCCTTGGCACCAGTCTATGTTTAAGCCTGTTTTTTAAAAAACATGATTTTGAGCTAATTCTACATTTTCCCTCACACTCTGAACAAGACTCTCTAAATATGGATCCCTTCAGAGCAGATGGGAGTGGCAGGTCTTCAGGTCTCAGGGGCATAGAGACTGATGTTTATTTTGTCCATTCGACTCATAGTTTGCATGTGCCTTTGATATCCTTCACCCCTTTTCCTTCCTCTGGACAAGGAGCGACAAATAGCTACACACCAGAAGGCCACAACTCAGCTTGTAGGACCCTAGTTGCCCCTCAGCAAAGTAGCATTTTTACCATTTTCTCAGTGCAGTGCCATTTAATCTTGGTATTTCCTGATTCCATGGTCCTGAACTCCCAGGCCCTGTGATTTTTTTCTGTGAAGGTGTCTGGTTATATCTAAGAAGTTTTAGTAACATTGGCCCTTAGCTGCCTCATCACATGCGTGGATAAGTTCCAGCACAGATAAATTTGCAGGTAGAAAAATTTATTTGCAGGTATATGCCCACTCCTACCCTCCTCCCAAACCCATTCAGTCTGCATGTTCATCCCAGCATCTACTTCTAGATCACTGTGATTGTCGCATTGTGTATATAACAGTCTTCTCTTTTCTTTAACTTTTGTACCACTGCCAGGGTTTCCTCTGCCTCTGTCATTTATGTTGCCTTCTTATTGTGTATTGCTTCCACCTTCGCTCAGTGTAATACTTAACTACCCACTAGTCAGCAGTTTACTATCTTTTCCACTCTTGCTCCTGGTAACCGTCAAAGAATGTTTCTACCTCTTGTTATTGTTTATTTAAAGATCCTTTTATTGGAGTGTGTTACAGCACTTATAATAACCCATACATCAAGTGCATCAAGTGTATTTGTACATAGGTTGCCATCATTATTTTCTGAACATTCACTTTCTATTGAGTCCTTAGTATCAGCTCCTCCTTTATACCACCTTCCCCGCAAACGTTGTGACCCTTGATAAATTATAAATTATTATTATTTTCATATCTTCACCAACCGGCACCTCCCTGCCCCCATGGTTTCTGCTGTGTGTCCTTTGCAGGGTGGTGGGGGTGGTGATGTTTGGATCATTGTTATCTGTTCCCTCTTCCTTCCCGCTTCTCCCCACCTTCCCCAAACCCTCTTGGTATCACTATTCCCACCCCTGTTCTTGGATTCCATGTGTTCTGAGCTCTTTACTGTTATCTATACCTGTGCACATGCTCCAGTCTAGCCCACAGGGAAAGGCAGGGCTGTGGTCACTAAGGTGGGCAGTTAAGAAGCCTCCAGGAACCAGAGGAATATTTTGTGTTTCATTGGTGCTATATTGAACCCTGGTTGAATCATCCCTTCCTTGTGACGCTTCTGTGAGGGGATGTCCCATTGTCTACAGATGGGTTTTGGGTCCCTGTTCCAACCCCCCTCCTTCTCAACAATATATTTTGTTTGTTTTTTTTGCTTCTCTGGGTTATTCTGATACCTGTTACCTAATTCCGTCGATACCTCCTGATAACGCTGTCTTTTGTGCTTCTTCCAAGAGGGCTTGTTGCTTCTCTGCAAAATGGCCGCTTGTTTAACATCAATTCTTTAAGACCCCAGACACTCTGTCTTTTGATAGCCAGGAACCATCTGCGTTCTTGACCACATTTGTTTATGCACCCATTTTGTTTTCACGGGTTGCCCTAGGAGTGTGAGTATAACAGAATGCCAGGTTGTTAGAGCAAAGTGTTCTTGCATTGAGGCAGGGAATGAGCCGAGGACCAAAGTCCATCCACTACCACAGTGTATTTCCATGTAATTACATTTTTGTGGTAGTTACATAATCTGTTGTCAATTTGAGACTTAAGAGGGAAGGGGTGGTATTGAGCCTGTCAATCAGGTTGCAGATTGATGACCTCATTTGGAGGGGCTAGGATACCCCAGGAGGCAGGTTACATACTCATTTCTTGTGAGACATCCCTATAGAGAAGAGGTATGGAGCTACCATGATGCAGTCAAACCTCTGGGACCTGGAGAAGCCATGTGGAGACCGATGCCATTGCTGAGAGGCTCCTAATGCCAGTGAATCGGCAAGTATTTCCACCAACTGGCCTGTGGTCTTCCAGCATAATGGCTCACTGTATGGCTGTGAGTTTGAAGAAGTTAAAGACTAGTGTCTACATACAGGGTAACATTGGACTTAGGAACTTGATATGGATGGGGCTGGGATGTTTTCTTAATATTCAGTAGCTCTTTAATATAAAGTTTCCCTTACACACATATGAATATCTATGTATTTTGTTTCTCTAGTTTCCCCGGACTAACACAATGTACATAGGCCAATACCCTTATTTTTATGAAAACATGCATTTACATATGTACACACATATTCTTATTCATTGATCCATAGCTTTGCCTCCTAGATATTCTCTCTCTCTCTCTTTCTTTCCTTCTCTTCCTCCAGCCCTACCATCAAGCTCATCCTTCTTCTGCCTCTTAGTAATTCCTCTCTGCTAGATTGGTATTGCACCAACACCACCGGGATCTCTACATCCTCCTCATTGTTTATTTTCAATCACTAGTCATTCCCCTGTCTATTGCATTGTTTGCTCACTGCTCCCTTTCCCAACCTTCTCTACCCCTCAAGTCCGTCCAGGACCATTGATCCTGATAATTTCCCTAGAGCTTACTTCCCATTCCTATCTTGCATAAGTAGTCAAACAAACAGTAACAGAGAACAAACAAAAAGAAAACAAAGGATTGAATATAAAGAGAAAAGGGGAAAAATATAATAATAACTAGGAAAAATCCAACCAAAGATCCAAACAAACAAACAAAACAACTTAATTAATTTCAGGTCTGTCCATTGATCTTTATGACTTTCTGCCCACTGGTCCTGGGAGAGTTCCAGGAGCTGCCCCTCCTAGCCTGAAGTCTATTTTGTGGGCACCTGGAGGGCTGATCTGTTATGTTTCCTTCTCGGTTCACGCCACTGTGGAGTGTTCAGACCAGACTAACTCCTCCTGTGTGTTCCCAGAAATGTTCTCTGTCACGGTGTGTTCCAAGGAGGGGACATCATGTCTTGAGCTATTGTTGGGCCTACAGGCCTCTCTCTGGCTTCACAGCTCTGTGCAGGGACGTCATCCTACAGGCTTTGTGTGTGTATATGGGGTCTAGATGGTCCCTCTCCCTTTTTCCTTCTTGGTTTGCTTCCATGAAGGCATGGCATGCTGGCCCCTCTCCCCAATCTATCGGTTTAGTTATGTCCTCTGTAGCACATACTTCTAGGGATTGGGCAAATTTGGCTCTGATTGGCGAAGACCCTTTAGCCCAATATTTTTATGTGTTGCGCCACGTGGTTACGTCGTGTCAAGGTTTTGTGTATACACACACACATGCACAGACGGATGTGTCAGTCTGTGTTGACTATTGAATCCCAAGGATACTCATATGTGTAAGAGAGAGCTTTATATCAAAGACTAATTGTATATTAAGAAAACATCCCTGCCCAGTCCAGATCAAGTCCATAAGTCTGATGTTAGTCCCTGTGTCCGATACCAGTCTATAAATTCCTCGTCATACTCATGCAACACATGTAATGATGCCAAATGCAGGATGATCACTGGCATTGTGTGGAAAGCCTTGAGGATTCAGTGGTGGTGGAAGCATCTTAGTGCTGGTGTGGGTCTCTATGTGGTTTCTACCACTCGAGGGCTCTGGCTTGATCAGTGTCCCTCTATGTGGCTTGCCAACAGGAATGTTTCGTAGGGAGAGTGTTTCTGGCTTCCAGTGAGCGATTTCTCTCCAGTGCACAACCAAATGAGGTCATCAGCTGAGATCTGATTGAAAGACTAGACTCCACCCCTTCCTCAAGTTGTCGATAGATTATATAACTGCCACAACATGTGCAGATATACGAATACTTAGTTGTTTTTGTGAGCATAGCTGTATGATAAGTTTTGAAATTGGAAAGTGGAATGTCTCCTATTTTTGTTGTTTTAGCAATTGTGTTTTGTTTATCCTGGATTCAATTCCTTTCCATATAAAATTGGTTAGCTTTTCCATGTTGT